GGGAGCAAACCCAGTTTAAACCCAGGAACAAACCACCTAAAATCTGGGAGTAAACCTATCTTAAATCTGGGAGCAAACCCGCCTTAAATCCAAGAGCAAATCCACCTTAAATTCGGGAGCAAACCCGTCTTAATCAGGAAGCAAGACCAGTTTAAATCCAGGGGCAAACCCAGTTTAAATCTGGGAGAAAAACCCAGTTTAAATCTTGGATCAAACCCAGTTTAAATCCGGGAGAAAATGCATCTTAAATCTGGGACCAAATGCACCTTAAATCTGGGACCAAACGCACCTTAAATCTGGGAGCAAACCCAGTTTAAATCTGGGAGCAAACCCATCTTAAACTTGGGAGCAAACCCAGCAGGATTTGCTTTCCACGAGTGTTGGTGAGGCAGGAGCAGCTCAGCCCCAGTGAGTAATCCCTGAGCACGACTTAAACGTGTTTGGGGAGAAAAAAAAAGATTCAGCAAAGATTTGGGTTTATGTGTTGTTTCATGAGTTGTTTGCTGCTAAAAATCGGAGCAGCTTCTCAGGTGCTCTGGGAACCCTGGGAGGAGCTGAGGGGTAGCAAGGTGGTGCCAAATATACAATTTTAAAAGATTTTTTAGGGTTAAAAGTGGGAAGAAGTTGTGGAACTCGGAGTTCAGCTGATTGGTTTAGTCCTAATTCAGAGAGTGGAAACAGAGGAGCAATTTCAGGTGAGAAAGTTTTGTTTTCAGCAGAGAAAAATCCATAATTTGTTTTTTCAGAGCAACAAACTCCCCCTGAGAAGCATCAAAGGCAGATTTGTCCAAGGAGAAAATTCATTTTTGAGAGAATCTCAACGGATTCCTTCCGGTTTTTTAAACTCCAGGTGGTGGGAATGGGACATCAAAGGTATCCCTGCTGCATTGTACAGAACATTTTCATCCCTCAGAGCTGAGGCAGCTCTCGGGGTGATGCTGCATTTCCCTGCTGCTCCCACCCAGCTTTCCCGGGAGTTCTGAGTTATCCCAGAGCTGCTCTGCCACGTCTCTCCTGCCTGCTCCATCCACCCAAACCCAAGGAACGAGGCCCCGCGGCTCTCTGGGAAGCAGCAGGTGATGGACACGCAGCTCCAAGCCATGGAAATGATGAAATGATGAAAATCCCAGGGATTTGTTGCAGCCAGCTCCACGGGATGGGAGCTCTGCTGCCGGGAGACAATTCCTGGAGAGTTCTCCGGGTGTTTTTCCTCCCAAGACAGTTTGAAAAGCCTGGATTCCCACTGGCTGTGTTATCCCTAATTATCCTGCTGCTGGAAGCAGCAATCTGCCGTGCTGGTGCTGTAATTCCATTCCCAGCAATTATCGTGGATGAGAGAGTGATGATTCCAGAGGCAAACAGGCAGCAGGATCCAATCCAGCTTGGAAAATCAGGTTTAATTCCTGCAATTCCTGCCTGAGCCCTGCCCCACTCTCATGCAATGTTCTCCACGGAGTTATTTTTGCTTTCCTGCTGTGACCAGAGCCCAGGGAAAACTTCAGTCTTGATCTGCCTGAGCATTTTTAATTTTAAATTAAAATTTTTAATTCCATTTTAAATGTTTGTTTTTCCTTAGGTCGGGATGATTTTTCAGTCGCTGTTCTGTTAATTCTTGGCTTTTTTTTCACCCAGGTTTATTTAGGAGTTTTCACAAATGTGAAATTCTAGCACCATAACACCTCTGCTATTTATTCCCTGAATGTTTTTGGGAAGCAGGGACAGAGATATATTCAGCTGCTGTGGATGCTGATTTTTTCCTGGATGATGTTCTGTTAAAACTTGGAATTCTGTCAGTGATTATTCCAGGTCTACATTCCCAGCTCCTCAATTTTAAGCAGAAAACCCAAAATTTATGGACAATCCCAGGGTGGGGGCTTGGAAATCAAAGAGAAGAAAATCTGGATGAGAGGAAATCCCCTGGAGGTGTGTTTGTTATTAATCCCTTAATTAAGAACAACAAACAAGGCTATGAGGGATCAATCAGCGCCTCTTAATTACCTTTAATCATCGTCTTTAATCAGCCTTTGTGGAGGTTCAGGGTCGTGGTGACAAAAGGAGCTGAGGCCAAATCGTGCTGGTGAGGGACAAATTGTCACCTGGATAGGGGGAAAAGTTCCCTGTGCTCCTCCAAGGCAGCCAGGAAAACATGGATTTGCAGCTGCTCAGGGTTTTTTTTTCCAGGAAAAATCCCAGAATTCTGGTGGCTGCAAGGCAAAGGCTGAGGGAAGCGAACGTGGGATGGGGATCTGGGTTTGGATTGCAGATCTGGGGGCTTTGGGGCATCAAATCCTGGGAATGTCCAGGTGGAGTCAATTCCTTCCTGGTGCTGTAAACAGCAGGGAAGAGTTGGAAGGATGTGCAGCCTTAGGAAATGGATTTTCCTTCAGGAAATGCACTGGGGCATCCCTGGAATTGCCCACATCCAGGCTGGAGCGATCTGGGATATTGGGAGGTGCTGGTGGATGAGCTTGGAGGTCCCTTCTGACCTCCAGGATTCTGGGATTCCCTTCCCAATCCGCTGGGTATGACAGGAAATGTTGTACAGTTCATCCCACAGAACAAAAATCCCAAGGGAAAGGTGAATATTCCCACAAACCTACGGGAAGAGCCCCAAAACGCTGAGGAGACAAAGTGTCCCTGACTCCAGGAAAAGTCTGGCTGCTGAGGGAACCTGGAAGTTCCTCTCTGTTGGAAAATCCAAAAAATAAATCCAAAAATCCACAAAAAAAATTTTAAAAATCCACATCTCTCCATGGAAAACACACCCAAGTCCTTCATGAAAAACCCCTGGAATGCCAATGGATGGCTGGGAGAGCCCGAGGCCCTCTGCAAACAGGGATTTGGGGCTGGAGGATTTCTCCAGGGGGAGAAGAAATGGGAATTATCCAAAGAAAAAAAAAAAGCTCCTCTTTCCAAGGCCTGAACTCCAAAGATGGTGGAAAGACCAGGACTGAAATTATTGTGTAATTCCTCCAGTCCTGAATCCAAGGATGTGCGCTGTGGGAAAAGGGACTTTGGAAAATGTGTCCTTTTCCATTTTTTAGAGGATGAGCCACACTTGACTGCCCCTTCTGACCTTCCCTGCTGAGCTCCAGCACTTTTTCTTTCCGTGCCTTCCAATTTTTCCCAGGCTCAATGGAAATTTGGGCTTTTTGGGCCCAGCCTGGGTGTGCTGAGCTTGTCTGGGAAGAACACTCCCAATGCCAAGGATGCAGCCCCATGGATATGAGTTTATAAACCCTGCCTGCCCATCCCACGTATTTTTCCTTCCTGTTCTTCCCTTCAGTGATCCCAGTGGGGTCACAGCAGGAAAATGGGAATTTCCAGACCCCTCCCAGCCGAGAATGAGGGGTCCCAGTTTCGGCTTCTCCCAGAATTCCCCCAAAAATAACCTGAGGTTTGCTACAACTCAGGAATTCAAAACAAGCTGAAGATCAGGATTTAAAATTCCACTTTTCCAGCCAGAACTGGTCTTTTCCTGTGCTATTTTACCCAGGCTCTGACCCACTCCTGTTTAATTTATGAGGAGCTCGGCTGACCTCTACCTGCAGCGGGATGTTGGGAATTGCAGGGATGCTCCCAACACCTAAACCCCAAACATTCCAGCAGCACATCCAGCTCCTCCTGCCCCATCCCCACCCCCCGGAGCTCCAGCAGCTCCCTCAGCTCTCCCTGCACTCCCAATTTCCCCGGTGCATCTCCACCCAGCCACGTGAGACACCTACTCCCCATCTGCACATTCCCAAAGCAGCTCGGCACATTTGTGATTCCTCCCGGGAGCTGCAGGGGCTCCTCCTCTCCCCCAGGTTTTCTCACCCCAGGAGAAAGCCCAGCCACTGATGGAGGTGGTTTCGGATTGCTCCTGGAGACAAGGAGTTTTTGCAGTGCTGTGGGCTGCCTGTTTGTGATTCCAGATCCAAACCCCCGGATTATTGTGGGAATCTGATCGTCAGGTGATGGCAGCAAAAATTGCTGGGCATTTCTTCCACCTTCACCAGGATTTGCTGTGGGATTTGGTGTTCTAAATCTCCTTTTTTTAGTATGATGTTCCCAAGTTTCTCCACCTGATAAATCGAAACCCATTCTGACAAAAAGGTGGAAAAGTATTCCTGGGAATCAAGCTCGCCACAGGAAAGAGGTGTTGGAAATTCTCCACCTTTTTCAGAATGACTGGAAAAATTTATTTCAGCTTCAAATCTGCTCAGCTGTCCTGGAGCTGCCCACTGCAGCTTGGATTTCCTGCAGGAAAAAGGGATTTTTGGGATAGAAAGCAGCTCAGGGTGAGAGGAGAGGATGTGGGAACACAAATATTAATCTGAGAGATGGAAAAAAGAGTTTATTCCTTCCCTTCTCTGTGCACACACCCTGACGTGGTGGGGAAGATCTCAGATGTGATCCTTTCTGTCTTGGAGCTCAGGGATATTTTCCAAGGGTTTTCCATTGTTATGAAAAGTTTTACTTCCTCTCCTGGTCCCAGTTCCAACCCCAAAACCTTCCTCTATCCCAGTTTGCTCCAAGCCCCGTCCAACCAAGCCTTGGACAGTTCCAGGGATGGGGCAGCCACAGCTTCTCTGGGAATTCTGTTCCAGAGCCTCTCCAGCCTCACAGGGAAAAATCCATCACAGCTACACCCAACCCTGGATCCTGTGAAAATGAAACAGAACCTGGGATCTGCTGGGATGAGCATGGGGATTCTCCCATTGTGCAATTCCTTTGTTGGGAATTGATCCCATCCTACTCCTTGTCTCAGTAATCCAACCCCAAATCCTGAATAGAAGAGAAAATGGAAGTGATTGTAAAAGTCCACTTTGTAAAAGTCCTGTCCCTATTTTCCTTGAATTTTTGAATTTCTGGAAGTTTTGAATTTTTGAATTTCTGAAAGTTTTGAATTTTTGAATTTTTTTACTTTTCAAATTTTGAATTTCCCTTCCAGGAACAAGATGCCCATGAAGTTTAATCTCTCTTAAGAGGAAAAAACCACGGAGAGAAAACAAAAACCCATGGATCCCCTGTACTTTTCCAGCACGTTCAGCATGGAAGCCGCTCCCAGCGAGGTGAACTCCTCCCTGCTGCCCAACGTGACGGAGAACGGGACGCTGGCGGAGCCGCCCCCGTTCCAGTACATCCACAAGGTGCTCATCCCCATCTGCTACCTGCTGGTGTGCGCCGTGGGGCTGAGCGGCAACGCCCTGGTCATCTACGTGGTGCTGCGCCACGCCAAGATGAAAACGGTCACCAACATCTACATCCTCAACCTGGCCGTGGCCGACGTGCTCTTCATGCTGGGCCTGCCCTTCCTGGCCACCCAAAACGCCATCTCCTACTGGCCCTTCGGCTCCTTCCTCTGCCGGCTGGTGATGACCGTGGACGGCATCAACCAGTTCACCAGCATCTTCTGCCTGACGGTGATGAGCATGGACCGCTACCTGGCCGTGGTGCACCCCATCAAATCCACCAAGTGGAGACGCCCCAGGGTGGCCAAGCTCATCAGTGCCACCGTTTGGACCTTCTCCTTCTTGGTGGTGCTGCCCGTGATCATCTTCTCGGACGTGCAGGAGGACTTCCAGACGTGCAACATGAACTGGCCGGAGCCGGTCAACGTCTGGTCGGCGGCGTTCATCATCTACACCTCGGTGCTGGGCTTCTTCGGCCCTTTGCTGGTCATCTGCCTGTGCTACCTGCTGATCGTGGTCAAGGTCAAGTCCTCGGGGATCCGCGTGGGCTCCACGCGGCGCCGCAGGTCGGAGCGGAAGGTCACCAGGATGGTGGTGATCATCGTGGTGGTCTTCGTGTTCTGCTGGCTGCCCTTCTACACCATGAACATCGTCAACCTGATCCTCATCCTGCCCGCCGACCCCGTCCTGGAGGGGCTCTACTTCTTCATGGTGGTGCTGTCCTACGCCAACAGCTGCGCCAACCCCATCCTCTATGGCTTCCTCTCCGACAACTTCAAGCAGAGCTTCCAGAAGGTTCTCTGCCTCCGGAAGGGCGACGGAGCGGAGGATGGAGACCCCGTGGAGCACAGGCAGGAGAACAGCAGCCGCCTGCAGGAGTCCATGCTGACCCAGAGGAACGCGGAGTTCAACGGGCACATGCAGACCAGCAAGGTCTGAGGGCACGGCCCGGCGCTGCAGAGTCCCTGGAGGACTTGGGGACTTCAACTGGAGCAGGGCCCGGCACTGCAGAGTCCCCTGGAGGACTTGGGGACTTCAAGGAGAGCTCAGTTCACGCAAAAGGAAAATGTGGAGCCCCAGAAGCTCCAAGAAATGTACACAGAGGGCTCTTCCCTGCTTTTCCCAGCTGGAAGTGCCAAGCTCTCGTGGTGTCCTGATGGATGTGATGTCTGGGACCACTTTGGGTCCTCCAGGGAATGATTTCCAGGCTTTGTACCCCTCTAGTGATGCAAATCAACACTAAGCTGGCTCTAATTCCCTTGTTAAGCTTGGTTTAAGGCTGCTTTGCACTGCTGGGATCAGCTCCGAGCAGCAAACAGCTCAGCTGGGATCTTTGGGAATTCTTCAAGGGGATTTCTGAAAGGAAAATGAGATTTCTTCAGAGTTTCATGCAAAAAAGGCACCAGCACTGCTCTGGAAATGGGTTCTGATGTGCTGCGTGCTGCCTTTGCTTTGTTTTCCTGTCATGAACCCATCCCAGCGAGCCTGAACAGCCAGGAACTCTTCAAACACAGCCAGAAAGGATAAAAAACCAAGATTAGGAAAACATTCCGGAAAGGAATCAATGTAGCCATGACATTTCCACCCTCCCACCCCATGAAATGTGCTGTGACCCCGTTGTTGTGATGCCAGTGCTGATGGCCGTGGGCTCCTGGGGAGATTTTGTGTCCATTCCTTGGTTCTGAGTGTAAGTCTGGACTCAAAGCTGCTTCCTCTCCGACAACTTCAAGCAGAGCTTCCAGAAGGTTCTCTGCCTCCGGAAGGGCGACGGAGCGGAGGATGGAGACCCCGTGGAGCACAGGCAGGAGAACAGCAGCCGCCTGCAGGAGTCCATGCTGACCCAGAGGAACGCGGAGTTCAACGGGCACATGCAGACCAGCAAGGTCTGAGGGCACGGCCCGGCGCTGCAGAGTCCCTGGAGGACTTGGGGACTTCAACTGGAGCAGGGCCTGGCACTGCAGAGTCCCTGGAGGACTTGGGGACTTCAACTGGAGCAGGGCCTGGCACTGCAGAGTCCCTGGAGGACTTGGGGACTTCAACTGGAGCAGGGCCCGGCACTGCAGAGTCCCCTGGAGGACTTGGGGACTTCAAGGAGCGCTCAGTTCACGCAAAAGGAAAATGTGGAGCCCCAGAAGCTCCAAGAAATGTACACAGAGGGCTCTTCCCTGCTTTTCCCAGCTGGAAGTGCCAAGCTCTCGTGGTGTCCTGATGGATGTGATGTCTGGGACCACTTTGGGTCCTCCAGGGAATGATTTCCAGGCTTTGTACCCCTCTAGTGATGCAAATCAACACTAAGCTGGCTCTAATTCCCTTGTTAAGCTTGGTTTAAGGCTGCTTTGCACTGCTGGGATCAGCTCCGAGCAGCAAACAGCTCAGCTGGGATCTTTGGGAATTCTTCAAGGGGATTTCTGAAAGGAAAATGAGATTTCTTCAGAGTTTCATGCAAAAAAGGCACCAGCACTGCTCTGGAAATGGGTTCTGATGTGCTGCGTGCTGCCTTTGCTTTGTTTTCCTGTCATGAACCCATCCCAGCGAGCCTGAACAGCCAGGAACTCTTCAAACACAGCCAGAAAGGATAAAAAACCAAGATTAGGAAAACATTCCGGAAAGGAATCAATGTAGCCATGACATTTCCACCCTCCCACCCCATGAAATGTGCTGTGACCCCGTTGTTGTGATGCCAGTGCTGATGGCCGTGGGCTCCTGGGGAGATTTTGTGTCCATTCCTTGGTTCTGAGTGTAAGTCTGGACTCAAAGCTGTGTTTTCAGACACTAAACCCAGCTCAATCCCCTCTGAGTGTAAGTCTGGACTCAAAGCTGTGTTTTCAGACACTAAACCCAGCTCAATCCCCTCTGAGTACAAGTCTGGACTCAAAATTGTTTTCAGAAATTAAACCCAGCTCAATCCTGCTGACTGGTGCAGTTTCCAGGGGGTGTTTGTCAATCCTGGAGGTTTTTCCCAACTTTAGTGATTCCATCATTCCGTTTATTCTGTTGGATGTGACACTCACATTCCCAAAGCCAGGAACTCACAGGATGCACCCAGAGCCTGGCTGGGACCATGAGTAATTTACTCCCATGTTTCTCCCACTAGCAGGCAGTGCCCACATTCCAAATCCCAGCACAGCCAGGTTTAGCTGATTGATTAATTAATAAAATTAACTTTTCCTGTAGGTTTGGCGTGATTCCCTCAGTTTTCCACCTGAAATGATCCCTCCTGGAAACTCCGGAGTGAGAAATGACTGGAAAGCTCAAGGTTGGGGCAGGAAAATCTGCTTTGGAAAGAAAAAGGATTTTAATAAATTCAGATTTCTGGGAAGGAGATAAACCCTGTTTTGAGCAGAGCAAAGAGCATTTGTCCCCTCCTTCCATGGAGTTTGATCAAATCCTTGGAATTAACCTAAGGAAGTTTTATCTGGAGGGAACAAACCATGGAAAAGAGGTGGATAAACCTGGGCCTTGTTTTCCACCTGCCCCAGACTGACCCCACTTCTTTTCCCACCCCCCCAGATCAGGATGGGGATCCCAATTCCCAGAAAACAGAAATTCCAGCCAGCCCCTCCAACATTCCCGTTGGTAATGCTGCAATCCATCATATTTAAGGAGCAAATTTAGGAAAGCTCTCAATGCCCCAGTTCCCAGGAAAATTCCAACCCTGGGGAATTCAGTGCCATGGGAATGCTGCTTTGCAGGAGTTTATTTTTTTCCTGGCCCAAGGAATTTTTTTTTCTGGGAGCAGCTCCTGCAGATCATCTCTCCAGTGTCACTCAGCCTTTGCTCCACGGGATTCCCTCCCCATCCTAACAAATCTTTCCTCAGACCTGCTCGATGCCTTAGGAAGCTCTGCTGGCTTTTCCCTGAACCCCAAACGCCGTTCCTGGGCTTCTCCTGGCAGCTTGGCAGTGGAATTTTGAGGAGCCAGCTGAGCTGCCAACCTCCCTGCACACATTCCATCAAAACATGTCATCCTTCCACAAAGACTGACAAATTCCCTGGAAAATCTGTCCTCCCAGCCAGCCCTTCCCAGGAAGCTCCAGACAGCACCGACACTCCCCAGATCCCTTTTTTTTCTCCACACATTCCAGCCCCAATCCCTCAGCCCCAGGGATTGAGTGACATTTTTAATACCTCGACAGACAATCCTTCCAAATTCCAGCTTATTCAGCTTTTCCTTTGATTCATCCAAGGATTCCAAATGTTGGCTCTGCTCTGCTGGAAAAAAAACCAACAAATCCACCCACGGGAAGATTATGGAAAATTTGCCTGGTGCCTACCTGACCTTCAGGAGGTAGAAAAATAATTTGGATAAAGTAAAAAATTAAATAAAATAATAAATAAAAAATAAACTGGAATTTCTGGTTCAGGCTCCAGCTATGAATATTCAATGAGATCCATGCAACAAAGGGAATTCCAGCTGCTGGATACCAAAGGACGGGAAGGAAGGGTGGGTGGAAAAATCCACCAAGCAACCTTTGGGATAGAGGAGCAGTTTCCTTCAGGGATTCACTTTTTATTCCATGAAAAATGGGTTTAATTGAGGGGGGGAAATCATGGGTGCAGTTTGGACAAGTGGCATTAGGAGACAGCAGTTCCAAAGGGCAGATTCCAGGTGGGCATCCCAAAGGGTTTGGGATTCTTGGGCACTTCCTGGGTTTCAGCAGGGTCACCATGGAATCCTCTGGCTTTGGGATCTCTCCTGGCTGCTCCCCAAGGGAGGAAAAATCCAGGAAAGTGCCTGAAGTGTGGAATTTATCCCAGGATTTAAGTTGGAATTTATCCTGGGATTTATCAGTGGCTTGATGTTGGAGTAAGGGCAAGGCACACATGGAATTTTTGCACCTTCCCTCTGTTAAACTCCCAGCTCTCTATTCCCTGAGGTTCCGGGGCTGGGATTATCCCTGGAATCCAAACATTCCCTGCGCCACAAAGTCCTGACCCAGCCTTGATCCATCAGCAGCATCCTTAAATCCTACAAATCCCAATTTCCAATGCCTGTCCCTGCTCCTTGGAGCTGCAGCCGAGGCAGGAGCGGCTGATTTCATCCCCAGATTTATTCCCAGGATATTTTATGCAGCTCCAGCCCCTGGCTCACCTGGAATGCCTCAGCTGCTCACCTCACCCTGCTCCTGGTGTTCCTGGATCCTTCATTCCTGCCCTTTTGGGCGTTGTTTGGAGAACTCCATGGAAATCCGGCGCTGTTGCCATGGGATGGGCGGCGCTCCGGGGTTTCTGTGTTCCCTCTCCCTTTCACACTTAATCCTCCCTATCTGCCCATCATTCCCTGGAAAGCCACGGGAGGTGAAGCTGTCCCTGCTGGCTCCCTGCTCCTGAGCCTTTAAGCCCTGGATCCTATTCCTGACCTCGAGCCAGGAGTCATCCCAAACTCTGGGTGCATCCCACTCCCTCAGCCTGGGATGAACCGGCTGTGCTTTCCCAACAGGAAAAGCAGCGGCCCTTGGGAAAAGCTGGGAATGAACAGCCCTGGCTTGTGGGAGTGGGAGATAATGAAGGAATTTCTGTGGGGATTTGGCCCCGGATGCAAACACAGCCCAGGCCTGGAAGTGCAGTGACCTGGGAATTATCAGGGAAGAGTTTTCCCTTCACCTTCCATGGATCACCTCTGCTGGCTGGATTTGGGGTTTATAATCCTGGTGCATCCCTCTGGGATGGGAGATCCAGGATTGCAGCCCCCCCTGCTCCAGAAGATCCTTATTTAATATTCCAGAGGGAGATTTGGGGCTTTTCCCCTGCCTGCTCCAGAGGTGAATCCCACCACGGTTTTCTCTGGAGAATTTGTTGGAAAAAAATAAAGAATAAAAATCCCTCCAAGCCCTCAATGAATTTATGCACTCCTGGCTTTTCCTAGCAAAACAAAGAATCATGGAATGCTCTGGATTGGGAGGGACTTCAAGCTCATCCCATTCCAACTCCTGCCATGA